TTACCTAAGTGTAGTTACAGGATGAGAGCTACGCTCGTGGTGTCCCGTCTTCCCAGCACTCTTTGTCATATAACGCTTTGAAACTACTGACGGTCTTGGCCTCCACCACCCTCTCACTTAACTTGTTCCAACCGTCTACCACTCTATTTGCGAAGGTGAATTTTCTTATATTTCTTCGGCATCTGTGTTTAGCTAGTTTAAATCTATGACCTCTTGTTCTTGAAATTCCAGGTCTCAGGAAGTCTTCCCTGTCGATTTTATCAATTCCTGTAACTATTTTGTATGTAGTGATCATATCACCTCTTTTTCTTCTGTCTTCTAGTTTTGGCATATTTAATGCTTCTAACCTCTCCTCGTAGCTCTTGCCCTTCAGTTCTGGGAGCCACTTAGTAGCATGTCTTTGCACCTTTTCCAGTTTGTTGATGTGCTTCTTAAGATATGGGCACCACACAACAGCTGCATATTCTAGCTTTGGCCTAACAAAAGTCATGAACAATTTCTTTAGTATATCGCCATCCATGTATTTAAATGCAATTCTGAAGTTAGAAAGCATTGCATAGGCTCCTTGCACAATATTCTTTATGTGGTCCTCAGGTGATAGTTTTCTATCTAGAACCACTCCTAGATCTCTTTCTTTATCAGAATTCTTTAAAGATTTCTCACATAATATATAGGTTGTGTGGGGTCTATGTTCTCCTATTCCACATTCCATAACATGACATTTATTAACATTAAATTCCATTTGCCAAGTGGTGCTCCATATACTTATTTTGTCCAGGTCTTCTTGAAGGGCATGACAGTCATCTAAATTTCTTATCCTTCCTATTATCTTAGCATCATCAGCAAACATGTTCATATAATTCTGTATACCAACTGGTAGATCATTTATGTACACAATAAACATCACTGGTGCAAGAACTGAACCCTGTGGTACTCCACTTGTGACATTTCTCCATTCTGATACATTGCCTCTGATTACTGCCCTCATTTTTCTATCAGTCAGAAAATTTTTCATCCATGATAGAAGCTTACCTGTCACCCCTCCAATATTTTCCAGTTTCCAGAACAACCTCTTATGTGGAACTCTGTCGAAAGCCTTTTTTAGGTCCAGATAGATGCAGTCAACCCAACCATCTCTTTCCTGTAATATCTCTGTGGCTCGATCATAGAAACTGAGTAAATTCGATACACAGGATCTTCCAGATCGAAAACCATACTGTCTGTCTGATATTATATCATTTCTCTCTAGGTGTTCTACCCATTTAGTTCTGTGATAAAATGGGAAAGTTTTCCACCAGTCAATGAACTCTTTCCCAACATCGTAAACAAATCTGCACATGCCCCACTTCAGCGAACCTGAGTCCGTCAAAATGTGAGAGTAAATCCGGCCTGAAAAATGTGCATCATAACCGGAGATTCACAGAATCGAGATTGCACTGTATCAGTTCAGATAGTGTCAGGGAGCCTCTGGGGCTCACCCAGCAAATGGAGTTTCATTACATTCAATGCTGGTGTTTTACCCGGCCTCAAAAACTGTCGAATAATCCAAGGATTCAGAAAAGCAGGCTTCGGATAAGCATGCATATACAATAGTTACTTTGAGAAAATATTATGGCCAGTTGATGGGACTGAACCTACATTCCTGGACCCCCCAGACATAAAAGAATCTTTACTATATATACTACTACTGACCACATCACACACTAGAAGGTGAGGGGACGACGACATTTCGGTCCGTCCTGGACCATTCTCAAGTTGATTGTGTCTTGAGAATTGTCTTCAAGACAATCGACTTGAGAATGGGCCATTACGGACCGAAACGTCGTCGTCCCTTCACCTTCTAGTGTGTGGTCTGGTCAACTTGCTTTAGCCACGTTATTGTGACTCATCGCCTGCATACTACTACTGTATTAGCTTCCCGGACTGTATGGGGAGGACCCCGGGCCGGATGAGCCGGTCTTCCAGATCAAAGGACGTTTCACTGCGGAAGTCCAAAAGTAAATATTTCCAAAAATGTTTCTACCACAGGCAACATAATTAGAATTTCCGCTCACTATAATTAGTGTGTGGGCTCGGTGGGTGGTTAGCTGCCTGGCTGGTAGGTGGGCAGGGCAAGTGGGCGGAGAAACAGATGGGCAAGTGGGCGGGGAAACAGATGGGCAAGTGGGCGGGGAAACAGATGGGCAAATGGGCGGGGAAACAGATGGGCAAGTGGGCGGGGAAACAGATGGGCAAGTGGGCGGAGAAACAGATGGGCAAGTGGGCGGGGAAACAGATGGGCAAGTGGGCGGGGAGATGGGCAAGTGGGCGGGGAAACAGATGGGCAAGTGGGCAGATGGGCAAGTGGGCTGAGAAACAGATGGGCAAGTGGGCGGGGATGGGCAAAACAGATGGGCAAGTGGGCGGAGAAACAGATGGGCAAGTGGGCGGGGAAACAGATGGGGGGGCAAAACAGATGGGCAAGTGGGCGGGGAAACAGATGGGCAAGTGGCCGGGGAAACAGATGGGCAAGTGGGCGGGCTGGATGGGCAAGTGGGTGGGCTGGATGGGCAAGTGGGCGGGCTGGATGGGCAAGTGGGCGGGCTGGATGGGCAAGTGGGCGGGGAAACAGATGGGCAAGTTGGCGGGGAAACAGATGGGCAAGTGGGCGGGGAAACAGATGGGCAAGTGGGCGGGGAAACAGATGGGCAAGTTGGCGGGGAAACAGATGGGCAAGTGGGCGGGGAAACAGATGGGCAAGTGGGCGGGGAAACAGATGGGCAAGTGGGTGGGGAAACAGATGGGCAAGTGGGTGGGGAAACAGATGGGCAAGTGGCCGGGGAAACAGATGGGCAAGTGGGCGGGCTGGATGCGCAAGTGGGCGGGCTGGATGGGCTTGGTGGTTGTCAGGGGAGTGGGCAGGCAGGTTCAAGTGGGCAGGTGGGTAGATGGGCAGGCTGGATGGGTGGATGGCAGGCAGATAGGCTTGGTGGTTGGCATGTGGGTGCATGGGAAGGCAGGTTCAGGCAGGCAGGTGGGTGAGTGGGCAGATAGGTGAGTGGGTGGGCAGGGTGGATGGCAGGTTCAGGTGGGTGGGTTGTATGGGTGAATGGCAGGCAGATGGGCTTGGTGGTTGGCAGGTGTGTGGGCAGGCAGGTTCAGGTGGGTGGGTGCATAGGCAGGTTCTGGATGGGTGGATGGCAGACAGATGTGCTTGGTTGGTAGGTGAAAGGGCAGGCAGGCGGGTAGGTGGGCAGGCAGGTTTAGGTCAGGTGGGTGGATGGCAGGCAGAGGGGCTTGGTGGTTGGCATGTGAGTGGGCAGGCAGATGGGTGGGTGGGCTCAGGCGGATTTGGATGGGCAGGTGAGCAGTCAGACATGTGGCCTCATATAGGCAGAAGGTGGGTTACTCTCCCTACCCATTCCTCCCTTCACCCTTCTCCCTCCTAACCCATGTCACAAGTGATGACAACATAATACTCACTCACTTGCTGTATGATGACACCATAATATGTACCTTGTGTTAAACCCCATTTTAATTTCTTGTAAATATTTAAATGAATAAATAGCCAACCAATTACTTTTCAAATATTAAAGTGTCGTTTTTAATATTCGTAACTAGCTCTTCACGGCAAAAAGAAAACAAATATAATTAACTGCACCACCTTTGACCCTCTTAGAGAGGGTCGGAGAGAGAGACAACCCTCCCTCCTCCCTGACTGCCATCCTCCTAGGCTTAATGCCAGTCACCTCTGGTACACAATGCACTCCACCACACACCCACCACCCTCACCCACACCCCACCCACCCTGGTGAGTGAGGTGTGGTGGTTGTGGTTACCACACCCTCTCCTGACACTCCTGACACCCACCTCTGACACCCACCTCTGACACCCACCTCTGACACCCACCTCTGTCACTCACACCCACTCCAGCCTCCCTGCTTGCCTGAAGCCTCCCAGCTCGCTTGAACCCTGCCTGACTCCCTCCCTTCTTGGTGATGGTGTACAATGAATGTTAGGCCAGGCATTTCGCTTGTTTATCTCTCAGTGGTAAAGGTTCACATGTTATATTCTGTGGCAAGTGGACCATTGGTTTTGGAGAGATTTTTAGGCTACAATCACTATCATTATACGTTGATCTGGACAAATATTCGGTAGTCCAGCTTCTATGGACATTCTGTTCGGATAGGGATATAACATTATTCAGACACGATTTTTGTCAGATTAGGGCATTTTCCGGATCGGCAGTCTTCGGATTAGCTAACTTCTACAGTACTACGCTAACTTGGAATTTGGAAGACACTATCCAGTACCACTTGTAAAAACTTGGATATGATATTGGATGGTGCCTTCCAAACTCCAAGAAAGTCTGCTAGTATTTCTGGTGGGGATTTGTTTGTGGCTCATCATAGTTCAATTAGTAGTGCATGTACCTGGAGGGTTCAGAGGTGTGAATTCAATCCCGTCCACATCATACAGACTTATTTTTCACATATTTTCCACATATTTTCTCATTGATACATCATGTTGTGATTTTATTGCACATTAATTAACATGCTCTAAGAAGGTGAAGGGTAAGGAGTTATATAATTGAAGAGCATGTATACAGTTGGCTGGAAGAGTATAACAGAAGTTATATTAATAAGGTGCTAAATATACTGTATAAACACAAAAATAACAAAAATACAAGACAATAGAATATTTTGCAAATTGGATGAGTTTAGATTCAGAAAATATCTGGGTAGATATTTGCTTGAAAATACTGCAGTTTTTGTTTTTATGGAACAAATCCCTAAGTAACATAATAAGCGCTAGGATCACTGAATTGTTTGAAGCAAAAGTTAAACATATATGTAGTATGAAGGAGCTTGGTTAGGTATAAATATAAGAAGCCTCACATGGGCCAGTAGGCCTTCTTCAGTTTCTCTTATTTATATTCATAGGTTCTTGTATTTATAGAAACATTATCTTAGAAATGATTGTTTTGACTCAATATATTAATAATTTTGGGCTATTTGCAGACTGAAAGTCATGCTTCCTGGAATTGGGGTATTTGGCACTGGGGACATTGTAAGAGCCTTGGTGCCATTCCTCAGAGCAAAGGGATTTCGTGTTGAGGCAGTTTGGGGGCGTACATTAGAAGCTGCAGAAAATGTTGCAACTGAACTCAACATTCCATTTCATACAAATAAGGTATGTATTGAAGAATCTTTTAAAGTAAATCGGTGATTGCTAAGCTGTCCCCTCCCTTCTCAGAGCTTAATGCATTTGCACCCTGCGGCCTATCCCTACAATGTCAGGCTCTAATGACAATCTCAGCCCACTGGGAGTAATTATCTATATCATGCCCCCCATCAAATAAGCTGGGAACACATAAGGATCAGAGATCAACTTGGTACAGAGCACCACTTGGTTTCTGAACTTTAGTTATCCGAAACTTCCAGTTTCCCAATTGGGATAGGGGAGTCACGCTACACGAACTAAGTTCGGGTAGGAAGCAGTCCGCCAAGCCTCAAGCCGGCCGGGATGAGAGTTACCCTACACGAACCTAGTTCGGGCGAGGAAGCGGCCAGACAAGCATCGGGCCGGCCTGTGGTGGTGGGTGGATGGGTGGGAAATGGTTTAGTTTGCCCAGTGACCGTGTCGGGCGCCACCTCTCTGGTGCCTGCTACCCTGTCATGTCACAAATTCACCCCCTGTTGTTCCCATTGTTTTGATTTGTCACAAGGCTGGAGTGTTCATTCCGTGACTTTGTTGGATATATCTGCACAATCAAGGAACATCCATGCACCATGTCAGCTCCAAATGCATGCATTGTGTCAGTGAAAGCATCAACAAGTGGGATACATAAAAGAAGAAGACAACCTACGAAGAGCAAGAAAATAGCGAATAGAAATGCCAGGAACTTCATACTGTCGCCAAGACGAAGCTCGCAGGTGGGACACCATCAATGAAGCCACCTGATCACCATAGAGATGGTGATACACCTGCATCAAAATATCAGATATGAAGAGCTGAGGAGAAGGCCGAACCAGTCACGTACAGGACCGATCCGACCTGCCGAAAGAAGCGGAGCCGCGGGAAAACGCCCCGGGTTCAGGGACACCTATTTGTGATTGGGGTTTTCCTTATCTGCCATCGATCGGGGTTAGGCACCCAGAAAGGTAGCATACATAACAAAACAAACCTCACATGCACCTATCCCACCACAAACTTTGCTACGTGAAGCCGAGACAACAGCTGCAAACCTGCGATCCAAGGCAACACAAGAATGCACAGGAGTAGACACGCGCACAAAGAACGGGTGGCCAGGAACCTGTGCGACCCCCAAATCCTTGCACCCGAAATGAGCCCTAGACGTCACCAATGCGGCAGCGAAAGCTGCAAACGTCTGAAGCAGCGTCTGAAAATAAAGCTGGGCCGGCCACCAAGGGACCATGAGGACTACTTTCTTTGGGAATAGACTCCAACCGAGCCAGAACCTGAAGCAACAGCTGGACCAGGAGAAGAGGAACAGGTACCCCCACCTTGACCAGTCCTGCCGAAAGGCATCCACCATGAACGCCTCGCAGGCGGGTAAGGGCGCTGTATAGAATGGGAAACGCCGAGACCATGCCGACGTGAAGATGTCCATGGCCAGGAGTCCATATGTCCGGCAGAGCCAACGAAACGAGTTGGCGATGACCGGCCAATCCGCGAACAGAGGAATGAACTGAGACAGGCTGTCCGCCAGGGCGCAGGACACACTTCAGGCATGAACCGCACAGCTAGCTAAACCCCGAGAATCCATCAAACGAGCCACTCGAAGGGACCAACTCTGAAGGTCAAAGCCCTGAGAGAAACCCTGTGGTTCTGGCAATGAACCACTGGAGAACAGTCCGAATGGAGCTGAATGATAGAGCACCAAGTGACCCGAACCCTCAGCAGCACAACCCAGACAGCCACGAACTCCCAAACCATGCTGTGAGCCCTACAGACAGACAGACCTCACCATCCCCAGCCGACCTGGTGACCAATGGTCACACAGCCCCAGCCGAGAGATGACCCGTCTGTTAACACATCGAGCGAAGGCTCGGGGAGGTGCCAAGGCACGGAACCCCGAAAACCCCAAAGAGGAAGCTGGTGACGCAGCACCAACACAAGATCCCCAGAGGAAGAACCCAACGATTGCAAGAGAGGCGGAAGGGGAGTCCCTGAATTAACCAAACAGACCCCGAATCCAAACCCGACCCTGCGGGCAGACCAGCACGTCGAAGTACAGACTCCCGCACAACTGCTGAAGCAACTGCTGAGCAACCCGGGACCCTCTCATAAACAGGCGAAGGCGGGACCACAGCCGTAGCAACACTTCTGGAGGGAAAGACAAGGAGTGGCCCAAGAGCCCTAAACAAGACCCAGCCAGGTCCGAACTTGGACCAGAAACAGATGGAACGGCCTCCAGATCACCATGAATCCGAACCCGGCGATCTGTAAAGAACCACACCCATGGCGAGCAGACAAGCAGACTGACTTGGAGCCTACACCAGCCAGTCGTCGATGTAGGCCAGACACAGAATCCCGAGCAGACGGGGCACCAAGATCTGGTAAAGATGCGTAAATACACCAAGTGCCAATTACAAACTAGGGAAGGCAACAAAACCGGCAAGCCTGAAGCCCCACCACCAACTCTGCCAGTCCCGGAACCCTGAAGAGGAACGTGCCAAGAAGTGACCCGGAGGTCCAGGGCCACCATCCAGGCACCCGACTCCAACATAAGCTGGACTGGAGACAACAGTCCTCCGAAGAGGGCAAAGAATCCAGGGTGCAGACTGAATAAGTCCAGAAGAACCGCAGATCAGCAAGGCCCGTGTCAGCATAGAGCAGACGGGAACCCCGGAAGGATGGGGCGGATCGACCACGTCCAAATGCACCCACCAAGATGACATGACGAAGTGCAGGGCAAGAAGCCCACCCCGCCAGCCCCGAATCCCCTAAAGGGGAGAAATCCGTCCGCTGCCACCAGAGGCCGGAAGACAACCAAAAACGCCCACTAACTGCAAGACCAAGCGAGAGCCAACAGAGCAAGCTGCTCCCCCAGCGCCCCATCAACAGCAAAGGGAACGGAGCCCTGTCCGAAAGAAAAGGTGTAATATATATATATATATATATATATATATATATATATATATATATATATATATATATATATATATATATATATATATATATATACACACATACATATACATATACATATATATATACATATATATATATATATACACACACACACACACAATTGGAAGAGGACAATGGAGCACTTAGGAGTGAGTTTTGCACTTTAAAAGGGAGTATGCTTCAGCAAGGTAAGATTATTACTGCATTAACAGACAATGTAACAAATCAGGAGGAGCAAATCAAGGAACTAGAGAAACAAAATGAGGCATGGAAAGTGAAGTGTGGTGACTTTGAAGAAATAAACAAGAAAATAGACTCATATGGTGAACAACTCCAAGCAAGCCTAAGGGCTAACATAGAGTTAGGTAAGGATCTCCAACTGGAAACTTCACTGACAACTCACATAGAGGAGGTGAATAAAGAACTAGAAAAGTATAAAGAAGAAATAAAAGCGACATATGCTCAAGTCGTAAAAGAGAAAGAGACTATCAAAGAAGTGTGTTCTGAAGTCAAAACCAGAAATGACCAACAAGAAGCAGAAATTAGGCAAGCAATTAGGAAAGAACTGGTTACCAACAGTAAACTGGTACAAAACACTGCAGATAGAACTAAGTCCATAATAATTTTTGGATGTTTAGAGAAGGAAATTTCATCTAGGGTGGACCGAGCGGTAGAAGAGATGAAAATCATAGAGAAAATAGTAGGTTTAGGAGAAGGCTCAAAGGAAAATGTCAGTGATTTTAGAAGAATAGGAAAATATGAGAAAGAAAAGAACCGCCCCTTAAGGGTGACGTTTAATGGAGTGAAAAACATGATGGATGTGCTAAGAAATGCCTGGAAATTGCAGAGTGATGAGGTTGGCAAACTTTGGTCAATAAGACAAGACCTCTCCAAGGAAGACAGAGAAAAGCTGAAAATGAACCTAATTGAGGCAAAACGTCTAAATGGGGAGAGAAATGAAGAAGACAGAAATTCTTTTTTCTACAAAGTGACAGGGACTGGAAAGCTTGTGAAATGGTACATAAAAACAAAACAACAAAATCAGTAGTGGAAGGGGGAGTAAAGAGCAAAGGAAAAGGGAACATGTTCCTGAAAATTGTATATACCAACATAGATGGAGTGAGGTCAAAAACTTTGGAGTTGCAAGATATAATCCAGCTTAGGGTCCCAGATATTGTTGCATTATCAGAAACGAAACTTGAAGGAAATATAATAAATGAAGTCATATTCCCAAGAGGCTATTCAGTTTGGAGACGGGACAGGAAAACTAAGAAGGGAGGAGGAGTGGCTGTACTGCCCCCTCCCCGGGAGGGGGAAGGGGGAGCCCCAGACCTCTCACGCCGGCTATCTCCCCTATCAGTTCTTCGGCTGATGCTATAGGCACCGGTTATGTGCTCCGGCTCCAGTGGTTGTTTCAGCACTGTACCTAGAGTGTGGTGTCTGTTTTCTAGGTGGTGCGTGAGCCGGAAGTGATTCTCCAGTACTCGGGCTGCATGCGCCTAGGGTTCCCTTTCCTAGGTGCCCTGTAAGTACTGCCCTTGGGGCTTGGGGCCGCCTTCCACAAGTTCCTTGGGTCCTGCCCCTGCTTGGCCGTTTACTGCTTGGTTTTCGGCCGCTCTTTGTGTGCTCGGGTGTTCTGTCTCCCTTGTTCGCCTTAGAGTAAGAGGCAGTTTTTGCACTGGTGGGGCACAGGGTACTGTGCAGCTTGTCTTTACCAATCATAGTGGCAGGCTCTGTTCCGCTTGGGTACGCTGTCCTCTTGCGGGGTTTTCTTTTTCTTTTTGTTTATCTACCTGGTGGGGGGGGGGGGGGTCTGCCTTTGTTCTTGCCCCTTGTGTCCCTTGTGTTCTGAGTATTTTCTGGTGGTACCCCCTGCTAGGTCCCCGTGAGTGTACACGTCCCGGGGGTTCAGCTCTTAGAAAGTTGTTTGGTAGCTTTGGGTGCCGGTTAGCAGTACCCTGCCTGGGATTACCTGAGCGTGAGTCCTCTTATAGTAAATGCTCGGGACCCTGGGAAACCCCTGGGGGCGCGTGGGT